CTCAAACAAATTAAATTATATTAATTAATGGCATATTTTTTTCCCCAGATCAAGTAGAGGAAAAAAAGTATGAAATCATAAATAAAAAATTACAATTAGTTTTTTTAAAAAAAATTCTTTAAAAAAAATTACAATTTTGTTACTCCTCCTCTGGCATTTTTGATGGCTTGAATTCTTTGAGGCATGGAGTTCACTATTGAAAAACAATATTTTATATCAAGCTGGTTCCCACTTTGTCAAATAGCAGTTGCCAGATCAGCTTTGCAGGATGGAGCCTTGTCATGGACCAATTTTTTTTTTTTAATTCCACCATAAACTTTCAATCATATTGAGATCCGGACTGTTTGCTGGCCCTTTCATTGAGTTGATATGCCTTTCCTGAAGAAAAGCTATAACACTGTTTGCTCTGTGGCAAGATGCATCATCATCCTGAAAAATGATTTCTTTCTCACAAAAGCTATTTTCTATCAGTGGAATGAGGAAAAGTGTCCAAATTTTCAATGTACACCTGTGCAGTGACTGTTGAGGTAATTGCCATCTCCCCTGGTCCTTTACCTGACATGCAACCCCATATCATACATAAGTGTGGAAATTTGATTGTTTTCTTCAGGCAGTCATCTTTACATATAAAGATGGAACATTGATCCAAGAGGCCGGTGCTGCAATAGCACGCAGCCGCCCCTCTGGACCCAAAATGGTGCTTCGGAGTATACATTCCCCCCAGTCCTAGTGCTAACCAGGTGCTCTGTGAACTGTATGGGGATATTAGCGAACTGCAGAATTCACACTCTGACGGACTGTTTATTGTTGCTGGAGATTTCAACCATGCAAATCTCAAGTCAGTGCACCATCACCAAATACAGGACTTCATCATCTGCCTGTGACAGTGATGCCTCCCTTCCAAATGCACTGAACAACTTGGTCTGAGGCTCAGAATGACGTGACGGAGCATTCCTGGCAGAGTACACAGAGGATGTGCAGACCAGCTGGCAGATGTTTTCACAGACATCTTCAACATCTCCAAGAGCAGCGTCGTTGATCCAGTGTGCTTCAAGGCCACCACCATCGTCCCCATGCCAAAGAAGTCTTCAATGTCCTGCCTCAACAACTACCGTCCCGTTGCACTCATAACTATCATTATGAAGTGGATCCATACAACCAGTACCCAGTTACATGTTTTTTACTTAATCAAGTTCTGCCCCCTCCCTTGTTTTTGCAATTCTCAACATGTTTTTGATCATTCTTGAATATTAGACTGCTGAGTATTTTAACACCAATTTTAGGAACAAAGAACAAAAAAAATCCTAGGACTAGTTTGCAAGAATATATTTAAATTGGGGTGGGTGTGCCTAAATGGTTCAAAAGGCATTTTTTTTCAAAAAGGACATGTATGTTTGAATGCTGTTCACAGACTTCAGTTCAGCATTCAATACAATCATTCCTCAGCACCTGATTGGAAAGCTGAACATGCTGGGCCTGAATACATCCCTCCGCAACTGGATCCTGGACTTCCTGACTGGGAGACCTCAGTCAGTCTGGATTGGGAACAACATCTCCAACACCACCACACTGAGCTCTGTGGCCCCCCAGGGCTGTGTGCTCAGTCCACTGCTGTTCACTCTGCTGACTCATGACTGTGTAGCAATGCACAGCTCGAATCACATCAAGTTCACCGATGATATGACTGTGGTGGGTCTCAGCTCATCAGGGTGCAGAGCCAACAACCTGTCTCTGAATGTGGACAAAACTAAAGAGATGGTTGTTGACTTCAGGAGAGCGACCACTCTCTGCTGAAAGTCAACAGCTCCTCTGTGGAGATCGTTAAGAGCACCAAATTCCTTGGTGTTCATCTGGTGGAGAACCTCACCTGGTCCCTCAAACCAGCTCCATAACCAAGAAAGCCCAGCAGCGTCCCTATTTTCTGCAAAGGCTGAGAAAAGCCCATCTCCCTCCCTCCATCCTCAGCTATTGATTGAAGTGAAGTGATGTGTAGCCAAGTATGGTGACCCATACTTGGAATTTGTGCTCTGCATTTAACCCATCCAAGTGCACACCACACACTAGAGTAAACACACACCCGGAGCAGTGGGCAGGCTTTTTTGCTGCGGTGCCTGGGGAGCAGTTGGGGGTCTGGTGCCTTGCTCAAGGGTCTCACCTCAGTCGTGGTATTGAGGGTGGAAGAGAGCACTGGTCATTCACTCCCCCAACCTAGAATCCCTGCTGGACCTGAGACTCAAACCCATGACCTTCAGGTTCACCTTTGGGTTACAAGTCTGACTCTCTAACCATTAAGCCATTAGGCAGCTGCATCACTGCCTCCTTTGGAAATTGCACCATCTTGAATTGCAAGACCCTGCAACGGATAGTGAGGACAGCTGAGACCATCGGCATCTCTATTCCCTCCATCATAGACATTTACACCACACGTTGCATCCGCAAAGCCACCAGCATTGTGGTTGATCCCACACACCCCTCAGACAAACTCTTCACCCTCCTGCTGTCTGGCAAAAGGTACCAAAGCATTTGGGCCCTCACTGCCAGACTGTGCAACAGTTTCTTCCCCCAAGCCATCAGACTCCTCAACACTCAGAGACTGGACTGACAACACACACACACTCTCTCAACTGAACACCATCCCACTCCCTTTGCAATTTTTGCACACTTCTGCATTGTTTGCTGATACTGTATTTATAAAAAATATTGTATCTAAATTACTATACTTTCTACCTGGCTGCTACCCCAACTGCTGCTGTGGCAATATATGGTATAAACTTATCTGGTGAATACTATTTCATGGCTGTTACATTTACATTCACAGCAATTTATTATATTATTATTCTTTTGCACTACCTATTATATCTGACACTTTCATACTAGAGCAGTGTACTGGTCGGTGCTGCACTGTCTAACTCTATTGTCCTGTTTTAGTAGTTATTGTACTGTCTTGTACGGTTTGCACATATTTGCACATGCACTTTATGCAGTAATGTGTAGTCTCTTGCAGTTCTGTGTTGTTTTCTGTAGCACCATGGTCCTAGAGGAACGCTGTTTCATTTCACTGTGTACTGTACTAGCTGTATATGGTTGAAATGACAATAAAGCCACTTGACTTGATTAAAAAACACCACCAGACATCTCCTTGACCAGTGCAGATTCATGATTCATCACTGAATATCACTTTCATCCAATCATCCACACTCCATGATTGCTCCTCTTTGGCCCACTGTAAGCTTGTCTTCTTCTATTTAGGTGTTAGTGCTGTTTTTTGTTTGGCTTTTCTATTTGTAAATCCCATTTCGGTTCTGCCAAAAACATTGAATTCCTGTTTCCGCCCATTTGTTTTCATTTGTTTTGTTGTGCATATTCTATTTTCAAAGCATATTGCTTTGAGTTTTCTATCCTGACACGTCTTCCTTGGTCTACTGACGTTTTCCTTTTATTACCTTCCCATTTTGATTATCACCAAAATTGAGTGATTTCTTTTTTTTTTTTTTTGATATGGAAAAAAATATGCCATTAATTAAAATATTTTAATTTAATTAATTTCACAAATCCAGAATGTTCAGCTATTAAAGACATAAAAATTATTTTGTGTCATATCTGTAATTTGTTTATTTGCTACAAAGTAAAAAGCTGGGTGAACATTTTCTAAGTGTGGTGATTACATAATTTTTGCCAGGGGTTGTAATTTTAATCATTACTAGTTTATTAGCATTAATGGAGTTTCCTTAGAGCTTAATTTATAACATACATCTTTAACTCATAATTGCTTGCATGGTTTCATACAAAACTTGAAAAGCATATACAGAACTAGTAACCATGCAACTCACTCAAATTGGCCATTGGGGAGTGTACATGATTTTTCCACACAAAAACAAGTATATCCCTGAAAAAGGTTAATATTAAAATTTATTTTTCTTGTAATCCTTTGGCTGAACAAAAAGGACATTTGGACCATTTAGGCACACCCACTCCAATTTAAATATATTTTTGCAAACTAGTCCTAGGATTTTTTTTATCCTATGTTCCTAAAATTGGTATCAAAATACTCAGCAGAGTCTAATATTAAAGAATGATCAAAAACGATGTTGAGAATTGAAAAAACAAGGGAGGGGGCAGAGCTTGATTAAGTAAAACACATGTAACTAGGTACAGGTTGTATGGATCCACCTGAAACTTGAAAGGCACCTTCAGGCCAATGTTATGATGAGGTGTGCAAAGTTTGTTGTTTACTTGTTTCTCATTAACCAAAAGTCTGGCTGAGCTGAAGTTTAGTGTTTTAATTTAATTTCAATAGATTTTAATTTCAACTGGGTTACTTCAAAAACATGGCCTCATTCAGCCAAATGGCTTTTGGCAACATTTCTTACAATTTCATACTTATTAAATTATGTTCATATCTGCTTGTGGCTATATTCAAGATCCAAGATTCAAAGAACTTTATTAATCCCAGGGGGAAATTGCTTTGCCATTTATATTTATTATTATTATTATTATTATTATTATTATTATTATTATTAAGTGTTACTCTACTATATATGTTTTACTAATCTAAAGGATTAGTCTGTGAACATACTTTTATATACATGAAAGTATTGCTAAATGAAAATCTGAATATTAACAAACATATAAAATGTATAAACAATAATATTAATAATGCATGTGATATTAACAATATGTTCAAAAATTGTGTAGAATAACACTCAGGTGTGTGATTTAAGGCACAGGTGTTTAAGTTTGTACTGCAGGCTAACCTTGCATGTAGACACTGTTAAAAGAAAGTATAGCTTTAGCATAGTGGGGCACAACAAATGGCATTTCACAAGAAAACTTAGCCAAGGCAGACAATACTGTCCCTGTACTAACTGCTGCCACGCACACACATTTTACATTTGCATTTGGCAGACACCCATTTCCAGAGCAACTTACATTTATCTCATTTATATAACTGAGCAGTTGAGGGTTAAGGGCCTTGCTCAAGGGCCCAGCAGTGGCAGCTTGGTAGTGCAGGGATTTGAACTCACAACCTTCTCATCAGAAGTCCAATATCTTAACCACTGAGCTACCACCACAACCAATCCACAATCAAAAAAACACATAGCACGCACATATTCCTAGTTGTTCCTCACCCTAGAACCAACGGGTTAGAAGGTGTTAGGCAGGACCCTGGTTTCAGAGCTTTCAAAATCAAATAAAAAGCTGGTCGATTGGAAGATCATCTTATGGTGCTTAAACTGGAATTTTCAATGTTCCCACATGAACATGAAACCTGAGAGTTAAAAAAGGGAACTAAAGGGGGACAACTACACAAGCAGCTTCAAAACAAACATCATCAATTTCTTCACTTAAATATCAGTTGGTGCAATATCAGCACCAGTAAAATATAACAGAGAGCTAACATGCCCAACATAAATCCTCAATACATGCCTGTATACATGCCTAAGTCAAACTTGGAGACTCACGTCTGCTGCATTATTTCAGACTTCAAAAAAAAAAGAGGTAAGTGTGTGAACACACTCGCTGAAGATAACAAACTAACGTATATTAACATCCATATGTTGATGTAGTGAGGCAGTTGAGAGGAGAAATCATTGCGAAACAGAAAAAGGTAACATAACACCTGACAGAAGGTCCACAGCCTTTTGAAAAATAAGAGCAAGGCAAGAGACAAAGATGTTTCAAAAGACATTCTATATAAGTCGGTCAACCCAAGATGTTGTAAATTCTGTGTTTCTCTGAGAAACTTCAGGGGATGGTGGATTGTTTTGTATAACAAGGTGTCCTAGAAGTCTCCACACTTAGGGGAAATTAACTGTTTTTAGCAATATGTAACTTTATTTACAAAAAATCCTCTACATTTGTCATTGCCATTTCTTTGTAAACACACATGGAGTCATCTCTCCCAACTTCGGCTCCCAGTTTGGCAGAAGTGTTGTACGTAATGTGCTTGCCATGTTTCCTGTTAAAGTCCACCACAACCTTACAACAGTGTCCTGATCCAGCCATGAGAATGATTTCAATATTTCAATGATTTCTCTTTTATCAACGGCATTCTTAAACCCTATCTGAAAAAAATATTATATAAACTAAGTATTTTGAAAAACATTTTGCTAAAAAGTGTTAATTTCAGCTATGTGTGGAGACTTTTGGGACACCCTGTAGTTTGGATTAGTTTTAACAGTCTTAAAGAGAAATATAGCTGCAAGAAGCAACTATTGGGGTTCAAATGCTTTAAGAACTTTACATGCATGTGTAAAAAGATATTATGTACACCAGTTCCATGATTTTAGGACAAATTACACAGAAGGTATAAGCAAAAAGAGCAATTTTTCATATCTCATGAAAACTGCTCACGTACCCACAAATTTGGTGAAGATCCAACAAACCGTCTAAGATGGGTTCGAAAAAGTAGTTCAAAGGAAATTCAAAATGACAGAAAATCAATTCAGGCAGAAATTAAAACCATGGCATGCATTCGACTCGGCACGAGCCAAAGAATCAGAGGAAAAAAAGAATTTTGTTTCTAGCCCTTATAGTTCCAAGGTTATTAGCAGAAACATGAAGTGAAACTTCAACCTGTTGGTGGTGCTACAGGGTTTGAGATAGCGACACCAAATTTGCTCAGATAATATTTCAGACTGTCCCCTACGTGTGTGCCAAATTTCATAACTTTCCTATGGACATTTCTATGGCCTGCCATAGGCTCCAGAGCAGAAGAAGAAGAAGCAGCAGAATGATAAATATAGCTGCAAGTAGCAATTACGGGACCAAGCACAACAAAGGCAAAGTAAGGAGATAAGCAAGCATCAGAGCATGGTCATGATTTACATGTCAAGTTTCAGTGCAATAGGCAGTAGTTTTGCAAAGATATTGCACAAAAAACTATGCGGCACTTATGTCAACGCATTATATGGACACAGTCTGAAATATCAATTTTTTTTTAAAATTATTTTATTTACTTATTTATTTATTTATTTATTTATTTTTTGCCAGCATACTCTGATCTATGTGAAATTTTGTGAAGATCGGATAAATGGAGGACTCTGAAAAAGTAGGTTTTTATCATGACTCAAAATGGAGGACAGAGAAAATGGCCTACTGTGGAAACATGTATATGACTGGTTTGGGACCAACATTTCAGTTTGGTCTATCAACATGAAATCCAGAACTTATTGCTGGCGTGGACTGAAGATGATCTGAGTTGAATTTGTTGAAAATCGGAGAAGTGGTCAGAAAAGCAAAAAATATGCTTTTTTTCATACCTCATGAGCACTCATGTTCCAAAACTGTGCAGATACCCTCAAGTCATGATGGCTATGACGTATACTAAGTTTGGTCTGAATATGCTAAAGCATTACGGAGATATATTCTCATGTCCATTTTGGCATGCTCACCGCTAAAATTTGTTAGTGCATTATTCGTGAAAGGTTTGATTAATAAACTTGAATTCCAAAAATTTTTTGTCAGCATGATCTGAAGATGATCTGATTCAATTTTGGTAAAAATCGGACCAACAGTCTAGGAGGAGTTCGAAAAAGTAGATTTTCAAACATTTCAAAATGGTGGAAAGCAAGTTCGGCCAACCATGGCATAATGGTATCATTGCTCTCAGCATGGCCCAGGGAAACTATCAAGACCATTCTCATGACAATAGGCAAAAGTAATGAAAAGCTATTAGCATTTTTTGAAATTTTGTTATAAATTTTGAAACTGAAACTTTTTGAGTACTGTGCCAATGACACATACTGATTTTCGTAATGACACGCCAAGACATTCGTGAAATACAGCATTTTACAACTAAATCAAAATGGCCAACACCCAAAATGGCCAACATTGGAAAATTTGAAAAAATCTGACTCAATAAGCAGCACAGAATCTAACGAGACCAGTTTCACAATTTTAGGATAAACCGTTTAGAACTTATAAGTAAAAATATGCTTTTTTAATATTGTGTGTGCACTAGGTGGCGCTTCGCTCTTGAATCCCTAACAAAAATCTCTACAAAAACAACAGGATTTCAGTGCTTCGCTCTTGAACCGCTAATAAAACTGCCTAGAAAAACAATAGGGTTTCAGTGCTTCGCGCTTGAACCCCTAAAAAAGAGAAAAGCTACTCATTCACCATTACAGCAAAATCACTCAGATTTTTGTCAGTGAAATGTCACTCACACACTTTCTATAAAATTCTATGCCATCAATGGTTTTGCATGGCAGGCCTCCAGTGAGAAAATTTTTTGCACATGAATCTACATGTTAAGTGATACTGACTGATTGCATGGTGGAATTTGAAATTTACAATGACAATGAGCAATGACACAACTGGTCATTAGGGTTGGTTCTTCATTCTGTGGTACAGAAGTACTAATTTTAGCAACATACAGGAAACTTTAACTTAATGCTTTCTGACCTGACTTATAAATTGTTACATAAAAAGCAGCTGACTGAGCTGTAATGTATTTATTAACAACTACAGCATCTTTCAACATTTCTTACTCATTTGCTTTCTTTAACTTGTTTTCACTGAATAATGACCTATGCAATTTTGCTGCTTTCGGCAAGAGTATAGTAGCATACTTTTACAGTACAGTCCTTTTTACTTTTGTTCACTCTTTTCCAGTTTTAACATTTTAAACCTGTGTCTCCTCTTTGCATTTGTAATCCAAAATGCTGACAATCACAGTATAGCCTGGCACTGCAAGTTACACCTACCGTAACAGTTCCTTGTTCTGGTCATCACATAGTTCCACCTTCACATTCTCTGTGCATGAATCTTCTGTTGGTGCAGCTACTTCAACTTTGAGTTTGTGGAGCTCTTTGAGAATATCATTGTCTTCCTCATCACTGCAGTCCTGGTCTTCTTCCTTCAGGCTTCTGATGTTCACTTTGTTCCTAAAAATTCCCACTTCTTCTGATTTCTCCTCCTAAAAGCAATTTTACAAACAAATATTTGCAAAATTCCACTTAATAGACATAGTATGGTTTTAATTCAGGGGTGTCAATCTCTGCATAACTCTGCATAATCTAAGGCTTTTATTGTTTTACTGTTTATCAATTATCACCAATAACTTATCTGAAAAGAGAATAGGATATTTTTCTAGGAAAAAGAAGGCTAACAAACTATTCAACTGTATCAACTATCAAGCGATAACATACTGATTAAAGCTTTTTAATTTTTTAAAAAATATTTAAATATTAATATTTAAATATGTATTATTTATCAAACATTGAAATTATATAACTTTAAGAAACAGATTTATTAAAACGGATTATCTCTGCTTAGAAAATACATGCCCTTAGTCTCCCATCACTCTTGTCTTTGCATGCCATCAACTTTACTTTTTTCATAATATTTATAAGTCTCTACAGTGGGTGATACATTTTGGGCTTTGGAATCAACTGATAAATCACTCTAAAGGCCAACACTCGTACGCATAGCACAGGAAGGGGGAATTTCAGGTTTGAATCCCCTGAAATATTTCATGACAGTTCCAAATGTTTATTTGTGGAGAATAACACACAGTGGAGCTGCTAACATTTGCCAAATAACATTTTTTGCACATTAATTGCACAATAATGGTGTTTATAAAAGGCCAACAAAGTCATCATTACCATTCTTCCATATTTATAAAAAAAAAGGTGGATCTGGTATATCAGTCAAAGATATTTTATTGCAACATTATTAACATGGCAAGAGAGGTTGATAGTACATCATGCACTGAACGATTAAATAACAAATTTGTGCCCCCATCGTTCCAACTACTGTCTGGACCCACCCAAAATGCATGAGCGTGTTGTACTTCGCAATTTAATTGTACAGATACTATCAGACACCTTTCCAATCCAATAGAAGTCAGTTGTGGTTGCAGGCATAATTGGTCAGAGGAGCTCCATTTTTATAGATAGTTGCCTATAATGGAGACGTTTAGCTAGCTAACTTTGTTAAGCTAACAAATGAGTTTATGGTATCTGGTTGGGCAGCCCCTCTGCCTTCCATCCCATGATGTCCTAGATGTTGTAATCAAAAAACATTACGTCTTAAACATGCCCACAAACATCAAAAGACTTATACTTGT